GTATGATTATTCATTGAGCCTTAGTTTACTTGTCTATAAAATGGGTGAATAATGAGACCAACTTGAAAAGACTTCAGACCATTCAAACCAGGAAAGCTCCTAGAGTGGGGTCAGAATGTCCTTTTGTTCAGGAGGCAGTTAAAAGACTGGTTATAACGTAAGCTGGACGCTCAGGGGTCAGGATATAGCCCTCAGCCCAGAGTGACTGTTATGAGGGCCTCTGGGAGTTAACAAGCTGAGGAGGATACCCTCTGTACCCTCATATCCACAGCAAGGCTTTTCCTACCAGGAGTCAGCACTCTGAGAGCCTCCAGTCAGCCTGAGGCTCTTATCTGACTTGTGAGAGTGCCGTCTGTCCCCCAGGGGAACTATACACCCTTGAGTTTAGGATGCCAGGCTCCTACCCTATCCCCAGCTGATGGAGAATGGCCTTCTTGCAGGTAGCAGCAAATCACCTCCTGCTCCTGTCCCTGCCATCTCTTGTTCATTCATCATCGAATCAATGAGTTTCTTGAGAACTTGTGAGTCAGGCCCTGAGTTAAGGGCTGACACATCCAGCTCCCTCAATCCCTCAGTACCATGGCATCACCATGGGTTCTCTTTCCATTTGACAGGTGAATGGGCTCAGAGAGGCTAAGTAACTTGTCAAGAGCCACGAATCGAGTTAGAGAGAACCAGGGCCTTATACCTCACTTGGTCCAGGAAGGATTTGCTGGTCTGATCTTGTCAGCTCCCCTGCTTTCCTGCCACTTCTCCCAAGCTGCCTGCCATTCTTCCTCTGAGACGCCTGAGTTCCATTGTCGTGCTCCCTGCCCCACTGATAGCTTCTTTCTCCCAGGTAAGAAGCTGTGTGACATTTCTTGCTCCCACAGCATCCAGAGTCAGGATTGGCAGGGGAAGATGAGTCAGCAAGGGAGTTCAGCCATGGGGGCGTGAGTCAGGGATGAGACCCAGCCTAGTTCACAGATAGTATGAGAGGGAGGGAGGGCCAGCCTGGGAATTCCTGATCCTCCCCTTCTCCTTCAGACCCTACAACTGTGTTCAGCCTGAGGCTACCCCAAAGGTCCCCACTAGGCAGGCTCAGAAAGAAGAGAAGGCGGTGGAAGTGAGGGGAATCAGGAAAGGAACCTGACCCAGCTCAGCTCACTCCCTGGGCTCTCACAGCAGTCAAGCTTCTGCTTGGGCCTCAAAGGTACCCCTGTGGTAGCCTCAGCTCACCTGGCTCAACAGTAGTCACCTTTGAGCCACCCGTTACAGCTTTAGAAGCACCTACACCTTGCTCCTGGCAGTAGCAGAAGCTCCAAGCTACAGGCTTATTATCCTGGCTGTTCTGCGACTCCTGCAAAACTCACCCAGTTCTTAGCTCTGTTTTAGATCCACAGCCAGGATCTAAACCTATGCCTGTCAAGTCCAATATTCCCAGGTTCAACTACCGTTGAACTCAGACAGTCCTGTCTTCTTCCAACATGTCCAGGGAGGTGGCACTGCTGAGACCTTTCTGCCTGGGCCCTGCTCCAAAGATTATGCCCAGTGCTAGCTCCCATAGCCCTCACCATTCCCTGCTAATCCTGCTGTAACTGCAAGCACCTTTGCTTTTAATTATTATCACTGTTATTATTGTGTGTGTGATGGGGTACCCATGTTATGGTACACATATTGGGGTCAGAGAGCAGATTTATGTAGGTTCTAGGGATTGAACTCTGGTCATCAGGCTTGTTGCAGCAAGCCTTTTTTTTTTTAACCTACTAAGCCATCTCTCTAACCTGAACCTTGGCTTTTTGTCTTATTTAGAAATAGTGTCTCATATAGCCCAGGCTGGTCCTGAGCTCCTTATGTAGCTGAGAATGTCTTTGAACTCTTGATCCTCCTGCCTCCATTTCTAGAGTGCTGGGATCACAGCCGTGCATATTATCACCATGCCCTGCTCATTGAAAGTATGGTCTCTTCCTCAGGGGCCACGGTGCAGAAGTGAGCTGCATGCCCCTCCCCACCTGCACAGAGCCCTGGCACTGTCACCCACACACTTGCACATGTGCTCTCCCTCTAGGTCACAGAGGGGCTGCCACTCTTGCCCAGGAAGCCCAGGACAGGACAAATGGAACAGCAGCTCTTGGGTCTCCGTAGGAGTGACCCTCACTGGTTGGCTGCTCCTCAACTCCTGAGGCTTTGTAGAGAACATTTTAGCACATTCAGAGTCCAACTCCACAGGAACAATAAGAATCCAAGTTTTCACTTGGTAAACCTATCTATCCAGTCACTTCACTGGCTTCTCATAAGCTCCAAGGATCAGTGATGGCTGTATGCCCATTTCCCTCCGAGTTGCAACAGAGGGTCACTGGGACAGGGGGTGTGGAGTGGCTTTTACCCTCAGAATCCATGCAGGCTAAATATCTGTGTTGTGTCATGTTATAATGTGCCTGACCAGGTAAGCTTGCCTCTAGCCAATGGGAAAATGAGGTAACTCATAAACATGTCTGGACAAAGGGCTCAATATGCATTCTCTCTTACCCTGCCAGGACCCAGCCCATCCTGTCTCCATTTATTGGTTGAGGTCATTTTGAGGGTTGAATAGTGGTCTTAGGAATGTTCTTAAACACATGCACATGACTTTGGAGAAGTGTGTGGACAGGGGTGGGCACTCTGGGGAAAATGGATGGTGAGATGGGTAGATAGTCTCTTGTCATTCAGCCCTACTTTTCTAATTAGGAAGAGTTGCCTTAGCAGTAGTGAGCACTCTGTGTGTGTCCGCCTGCAAGCTGAAGCCAGATGAGGTCCATCAGAGGGGTCTGCACTTGGAGGTGCTGCTGTGGAAACCCTCTGTGTTCTCTCAGTCTCCCAGTCTGTCAGCTGAGTTTGGGAGTGACTTCCCTAGTCCTCGAGATCCTGGATACAAATCTGTTTTCCCAAGAGGTTAGGAATCCTCTGAGGACAGGGATACCCTTCTGTCTACTCCAAGGCCCGAGAACTCAGCACTTTTCCTGGCACACAGGGCCCATGTGGGTAGCTATACCATCTCTGCAAAGCATTATGGGCTCCCAGCTCCTTATAGATGGACATGGAAACCCCAGAACACAGATACCCAGAGCTCAGAGGCTCTGTCTACATCAAGCACCACTGAAGGGGTAAGCCCTGCCACTGGTGACCCTGTCTGCCACGTCCTCCTACTCCTCCTTCTCCTCAGATCTGCTTGCTTGCTTCAAGTGATAGTGAGCTCACTCCTTATAATACAACCTCTTAATCAAGGAAGGGTAGGCGTCATTATCATCAGGTCCAGCCTCTGGAATTCTACCTTCAGGTCATGCTTCTGGTAGAACACTGGGAGGTGTCTCCATGTCTGGAGGGTGCTCAAGGATGCTGCCGGGTTCCAGTGACACAGCCCAGAGCCCTGCATGATAAAGGGACAGATGGTGTGACAATGAACTCATCACCTATCTCTATCCAGAGGTGAGACTCTAAACTGTTCAGAGAACAGATCATGATGAAGCCTCTGGTCAGGGACAGGTGGCTTGGATGTGCTCTTCCCTCCACACACCTCGAGACAGGCCCGATCCAGAGCCACAGATGTGACTGGCTGAGTGATTCATTCATTACTGGCCATCACTAGCCAGGTGTTCAGTGAGAGCGGGTGGCACTGTGGGAAGGCAGTTTAGTTGCCTTGGTAATCAGGAGGCTAACAGCCACTGCGAGCTGGCTTGCTGTGTACCAGGTTCTGTTTACTTCCTTGCAAAGGGCACAGCCTCTCCTGTCCAACCCCAGCTGTTGGGAGGGCCACGGAGCCTGCCTGGTACATTAGCACCTCACACATGGTTAGACTTGGTAAGCAGGGGCTGCTCCTCTAACTGGAAATCCCGGCAACAGCCACAGGGCACTTCCTGCAATAAGTCACACCCATTTTGTAGATAAGGAGACTTGGAGAGGTTAGGTAACTTGCCATCATGCTAAAAGATGGAGCCAGGGTTTGAACCCAGGTTTTCTGGTTCTGTAGCCTGCAGTAGAAAAGCAACAAACTCAGGAGCCAGAGGTGCACCTAACTGGGGTTAGGGGGCAGCCGCTCTCCTCTCTGCCATCCCACCCTCCCTCCCGTCGGGCCTGCTATGACTACTTACCTTCTGTCTAGAAAACAAGATCCCCAGGGTTTTTCTCAGCCGGAGGCAGGGCCCTGGGCAATCAACAGCTCTAAAGGGTTTCTCCAGCAGTCCAGAGCCAGGCAAGGAATGGGGTGTTGCAGGAGCCTGTGTTTTAGGGCTGATAGGCCCCTGAAGACCTTCCAGGACCCCTCAAAGCTCACCCAGAAACACTCTCTTGGCATGGGCTGAGATAAAAGGCTTTTGATTCCCCCAACAAATATTCTGAAGCCCAGGGAAAGACCCCAGCCCCGACACATGCAATCAGCACAGGGACTGAGGTCGAAGGTCTCGGTGGGGTGAGAGTTCCTGTCATTTGGCAGTCACTTCAAGCTGTGGGGACAAGCTGGGCTGACAAAGCACCCATTCTCCAGTATCTTCAGGCCTAGGCTAAGCATTAATGACTCGCGGTTTTGTGAACTGGGTCTACACCCCTTGGGCTGTTGAGAACGCGAAGATTTCATTCTTGAAAGTGTTTTAGTAAACGGTGACCGTTATTAACCGTGTTATTTCACACTGTGGAGGGTAGGGGTGCTGCCAGCCAAAACTGGCCCGTTCCTTCCTAGACTCGGACCTAGGCCTAAGAATGGGTATTTTATCAGCTCATAAGGGATGTTTGCAGTCCCGGGAAAGGGGCGCTGTTTTCAGAACTTCCGAGAAAGTCCTGGGTAGCGAAGCAGCAGGGTGTCCCTGTTCGGGTATCCCCTGACCAAGAAGGGGGTGCGCCCCCCGCAGGCGGCGCTCGGCAAGGCCTCGGCTGCGGCCTTGGGTCCCCCCAACCCCTCTGTGCCCGCCCTGGCCACCTCGGGGGCGAGGCAGCCAGGCGCGTGGGAGGGGACGGCGCGCCATTGGCTTGTGCGCCGCACTAGAGGAGGGACCAGTGCGGGCCGCCAGACTCGGGCAACCCGGCAGCACTGGAGTCCAGCCTGCCCTGCCCTGCCCTGCCCTGCTCGCCCAGCGCGGCGCCGCGATGTGAGACTCCCCCTGCCGAAGCGTCTGCGGGGCACGCCAGCTCCGCGAGCGCAGCACCCGGCGCACTTAGGAACGTAAGTCCGCTGCCCGCCGCTGCTAGCCTCGCACTTCCCCGCCGCGCCGGCCGCTGCCTGCGCAGCGGAGCCCGGGGACGCTGGGGGCCTTAGGAACCTCTGGGGGGGCAGCGAGCACCCTGCGCACTCCTGCCGGGCGCCGGGCCAGCTTGGCACCTGCGGGTCTGCCGGCGCCCGGGACCCCCGCTGAGCTCCTCGAGGCACTGTCCTTTTTGTTTGTTTCCTTGTACTGACTCGGTTTCCCTTTCTCCTCCAGCTCTCTTTGTCACCTCCATCCCCCAGGGCTGTTTATTTCTCTCTCGGCCTCCTCTCGGGTTATAGCTCTTTGCTTTGGAGCCAGAGAGAACCGGGCGTGTAGCAGTTTCTTCTATCGCGGGGTCTCCGTCTTCCACGCTTAGTTCTCGGTCCCCTCCCCCTTTCTCGCCACCGCACCCCCTCCCGCCTTTGTCTCCTGGCCCGAGGATTGAGCGGTGCAAACTTGCGAGTTCCCGGGTCTTTGCCCACATGGGTACGCGGGCGGAGGAGGTGGCGGGGTTCCCTCTGACCAATGGTCCGGCCGGACCTTCAGTGTGGGTGCGGGGGCTGGAGGAGTCGCGGACTCCCGCCTCACAAAGTGGAGGAGTGTCTGCAGGGCGGAGATGAGGGATTGATCGGAGGAGGAAGGGGCAAGGCCGGTGACACTCCAGAGTCCCTGCAGGAAAGGAACGATCAGAAACGCGGCTGGGCCAAATCATAGCCTAGGGGAGTCATGAGGGGATCGCAGGTGGACCAGGGCGAGCCTCTCCCTTCTAAGCCGGCGCGGTCAGCATCAAGGGGGCAGCGTGGGGCCATCGGCTGGCACAGGGTGTATTGGGGTCCTATGTAGTGCTAAGAAATACTTGGCGCACCATCTCCGGGCCACCTCAGGGCCAGGCGTTCGTTTTTGGTCCCCTCTTGCCTCCTTCTTGTAGTCTGGGTGGAGCTGGCTTCCTCCCGCCTGTGGGGTGGAGGGGCAAGGAGAGGCCCAGGAACCGCCCCCACCTTGCCCCAAAGCTTGAAGCACACGGCCAAGGCCTCCTCGAAATCCCCACGCCCGCACTTCCTGTTTCGTTTTTTTAAGACAAACTTTTCTGGATGGGGCCTGGCGGGAGTGGGCAAGTCTCTGGGCTACAGGGACGTCCATCCAGCTGTGCGTTTCGTTGGAACACCACCTGCCTCTTAGTGGCAGCCGCAGGCTCAATCTGAGGGAAAAACAAGTTATTTTCCTGTAGGGCCGTTGGGAAATAAGAGTATTCTTCAGATTTCTGTTGTCGCCTTTGTTTAGATGGTACGGTCCCCTAGAGTCCCCTCTGGTCTCAGGGTTGCAGGAGCCGGCTGCTCTGGCTTCTCTTCTGCAGAACTCTCAAGTCTGGCTGCCTCCACTTGATGTCTCCTGCTTTGACCCTTCCCGTCCCCAGACCTCGCAGCTCCTCCCCACCCGACTCCCAGGTTGAACTTGTGACAGCCCCCTCTGCTGGAGAGAGGCTCTTGGCTAGGGCCGAGGTCGTCATTCATTGTCCTCCGCTCTTCTGTATGTCCCTTCACTGCCTAAAGTTCTGTGAGTACTATACCAAAGGGTGACGACACAGATGGCCAGCAAGGTTCCACAGGTCCCGACACACCTGTGGGAGCTGAAAAGACTCTTCTCCTGGCGGTGCCGTGGCTTGAGCAAGGAGAGGCGAATAGATAATAAATAAGCCATTGGGTCATGCGTGGTGCCTTGGAGTTATGCCAGCACCCGGAGGGCTGAGGCAGGAAGAGTCTGTGTTCCAGGCCAGTCTCGGACCGAGGGAGAAAGCAAATTCTATAATGAAGGGCAGGAGTCAGGGGAGCGTGTAGAATGTTGGGGTGTTGGGCCATTTTAAAGAGTGGCCAGTGATGTTTTTCCAATCCTGCAGAATAGCGTGTGCAAAGAGCCTGTGGCAGCAGCAGGCTGCTCCTGGGGGTGGGTAAGAGTTAGGCACTGGTGACAAAGGATGGGGAGCCCCCACAGGTGAGAGAAGTGATGCTGAGAGAGAATTTGTAAGTTAGCACCCTCCCCGCCAGCATCCCCACCCCCCAAGAGGGGCATCCACAGAGTAGCCATTGTGTTCTGAATCCAAGTGGGAAGGCCTCACCCCCAGTAGCATTCTCTATGTCCTTCCCACAGCCACGGCAGCCAGGGACAGGGAGACAGTCACCCAGGCTGAGTGTCCTGGGAACTCCATCCCCCAAGACCCTCCCCACCTGCCCTATTCTGTCTCACCCCGTCCTTCCTCATACTATCCTCTTTGGAACACTCTTTTTGTGTGGGCATGACATCCTGGAAGGGGTTCTGCTCAGTAACTGCTTTAGTAAGAGGGGAAACTGAGGCCAAGAAGAAGTTGAATCTTCAGGTCTAAACAGCATTGTTGAACACTAGTTACAAAATGCAAGTTATTCTGGGTGATGGTAGGCAAATTCTAATCGGGGAAAGTAAGTGTCATTATTATGCCCATTTAACAGATGAGGAAATTGAGGCCCAGAGAGGCAGGTCCCTCTCCCAAGGCCACACAAGCTCTTGGGGTATGAGGTGCAGAGCCAGGATGTGAGCATGTTGTTGAGCAGCAGGGAGGGGTCTGGGGGGTGACAATGGCTGGGAAGGGGAGCTCCTGCCGTATTCACAGGAGAGCCCTGGCTCTGTGGGAACTGTAGGGCTGTCCTGAAGGATGACTGGATGACTGGGCCAGCTGCCCTTGAGGGCCCGGACTAGGTCACCGGGCCCTGGGGAGACTGGCCCACTCAGGTTCAAAAGGACAGGAATTCTCCATGCTGTGTGTTGCCTTTTGCAAATGACAGCAGGACAGGAAAAGCCCTGTCAATGATTTCTGAGTGGCGAGAGGCTGTGTGAGAAGCTGCCCAGCCTTGCTTAGGGCAGCCGCCTCAGACTTCTGAGTGAAGCCCTTCTCCAGCCCCCCAGCCCCAGGGATGTGGCTCCCAGGCCTGAGCCCACCCCCTTTCTCCAACACAGCAAGGGTTGTTTATGTGTTGTCCCTGTGCTCTGAAGACACATGTGATGAAAGTCCAGGCTTTTCCTCTGCGCCTTCCAAAGACAGAGAGGACCAGTGAGAAGATAAAATCTCCACTACGGGAGAGGAGAGGCGGGGAGGGCTGCCGAGGCTGGGCAGGGCCAAACTGAAATGCAAATGAATGTGCTTTTGTGACTGGAGTCTAGTCAAACCTGGAGAGGGCCTTCAGGGCCACACTTCCCAACTTCTACACAGGCAAGCCCTGGCTCATCATGCCAGTGACATCAGCTGAACTCCTTGAAGCATAGTGACTCCGGGCACCCTGACCTAGTAGCAGGGCAAACCCTGAGGCTCCAGCTCCAAGGGCCAGGTTCCTGAAGGTTCGAGGAACTTGGCATGGACTCCATCGCTTTGCCACTGGGATGGGTCTGTCTCCACGGCTGCCATGCTAAAGGATTGCACATCATGGTCTTTTTCCGTTGGTTCCCTTCTCTGTCCTCACCTTTCACAGCAGCTTAGTGACGACTGAGCTGGTGAGAGGTGACAGTACAGCCCGCCATCACTGCTCTGTCCACCCAGGCAGCGTGCTATAATAATTCATTCTCTGGGGACCGAGGCTCGGCTCGGCTGAGCGGGTGGTGTGCACAGTAGCAGCCCTTCCATCTCCCCTTTGCATGGGCCTAGAAGGTCTCCAAAGAGACCTGTGCCACAGAGGACATTATGTGTGTCGATACTGCTGCCTGTGTCCTGTGATCCTTGACTCTGTGAGTGAGGCGTGACACCCGTTTGCAGGCAATAGGGTTCCTCACTTAGCAGCAGACCTGCCTGCTCCAGGTCTGGGAATGCAAGTCTGTGGAGGGAATGTGGTGTTCACCTTCTGCTTCCTGTGACGCCCCGAGATGTGGGTCACTTTGCCACAAGGCCCCAGCAGCTGGTTCCTAGAAGGTGATTAGACCTCCATCTTATCCAGACGACTGGGGTAGCCTAGAAGAGGCTCTGGGGCCCAGGGGCAGAGTCTTCTCTGCCGACCCTCCGACCGTCCTCCAAACTGAACTCTCAGTGTCCTCACTTGTAAGCAGCGCTGTTCAGACCCACTTCCAGCTATTCTGCTGCACGAGACAACAGAACAATGGGCTCTGCTCTGTGGTACTAGTTCCCAGTGCTCCGCCCACATCACAGGCCCTGAGCCCAAGACAGGCCAGGCCAGGCCTAGGGAGGGCGCTTCAGACATTGGGAGATGCACCAAGACTTCCAGGGAGAGTGTTCTGGAAGACTGCTTGAAGCTCAGTTGTTTGGCTCTCTCTCTCTCTCTCTCTCTCTCTCTCTCTCTCTCTCTCTCTCTCTCTCTCTCTCTCTCTCTCTCTCTCTGTGTGTGTGTGTTTGTATGTGTGCTTTCCAGGAACACTCCATTACCAGGCACTCGACACAAACAAACCCAGATATATTCATTCCCTGACGTCCCTTCTCTAGACCCTCTCAGGAGATCCAATGAAGGCTCAGGTCAAGCCAGGGACTCTTCAATAAGTAAGTCACTCGGGCCTTAGTGCTCTCATCTGAAAAATGGAATGGGATTAGCTACTGTCACAAGCAAGCATGTGGACTTCAGGGGTTTCTTAGGCTGCTGTCCCTGGCTCAGGCAGGGCGTGAGCAGCTCTCTCCTCACGGGCAGGAGGGCTGTTGCGGCCGCTGCACCTGTGCCCATACTGGGGAGGAAGTGGCTCCCCGACTGAGGGGCCGTGGCTGTGACTCAGGGGAAGTCGTCTGAGCAGCTGTGGGTGTTCTGGGCCCCTACCTCCCCTCCCCCTCCCAGGGCAGCGGGTTTCCTAAGGCTACCCTCCTGGGCACAGCCTCCCTGTCGGGACAGCTCTGCAGTCCATTGGTTTCTATGGTAACCAGGCTTCCTGGGAAGGATGGGGAAGTCCTCCAGGATCAGCTTGGGAGGTGTGGTCCCCTGCCTCACCGGGTGTGCCGCCCAGGGCTGAATCTGGTTAGGAGTTCATTAATAACACAATGTGTCGCTGTCCTTTGTGCAACACAATTCAGGGGCCCAGCTCCGAGGCTGCCCTCTTTATGGTACATCACAAACTTGCTGAGTGGCCTCAGTCTACTTTCTTAGATGAGGACTTGGAAGCTCAGAGAGGCTAAGCAATTTTCCTGAGGTTGCAGAGCAGTGAAGAGAAAGAGGTGCATTTTGAGTCTAAGCTTTCCTAATCATTAAGAGTGTGTTCCTTTAATCCCAGCACTCAGAAGGCAGAGTCAGGTGGATCTCCAAGTTTAAGGCCAGCGTGGCGTATAGAGTGACTTCTAGAGCAGCTAGGGTTACTCAGGGAAACCTTGTCTTAAAATAAAGTAAAAAATAGGAATGGGTACTCCTCATCTCCTACTGTTGTACCCCCAAACCCTCCTGTTCTGTCTTGGGACATCTACTCCCCTGGCCAGGAAGGTACTATCATGGAAGCAGTTATTCCAGAGCTCCTGATGAAACCACTGGCCCAAAGCACATGCTCATAGAGAGTGGCCCTGCCTCATCCTCTACATGCCTCTCCTGCCCCAGGCCACAGACTTGAATGTAGCCTAGGGCAGCTCCCCTCTCCCCCACCATGGGCCTTAAGCTCTGACTGCAGCTAGGACGGCCTGGGTTATGAGGACAGTGCTCTGAGGAGCACAGGCTTGCTGCTCTCCTGTTGGGTCACCTTGGGACATCAGTTGTAAATGGCCGGGGGTGAGACAGGAGACTAGCTGAACTCTGCGGAGGAGGACACGGTTGAGCTGGCCTGCCGAGCAGGGAGGACTTTCCCTCTTGGACAGGGCTCAGAGTGACTGTCACTCTTAGAAGGATGGAGAGTTGCTGCCTTAGTGGGTACGGCTGCCAAGGAGTCTGACAGGGACAGCAGACAGGACGTGGCCTCACTGATGCCTCTTTCCATCTCCACATCTATGAGCATGAGGGTGAAGGATTAGCGGCCCCTCCCGCTTCCGCAGTCACAGTGGGGATGGGGAGGCCCTAGGAGCAGCATGCAGGAAGCCGGGCAGGCCTGAGAGGCAGAGGCCTTTCCCACTCTTCTCAGCTGGGTAAGGAAGAGAGGGCATTGGGAAGGAGGATAGCTCCCATTCAGGGCAGGCCGCTTGGCCGGAGGGTGCATGCCTACATTCACTGGCATTTCCCCATCCTTATCCCCCATTCCACAGAGGGAAACTGAGGCTGAGAGTGCCGTGGTGGCTCATACGTAGGCAGAGCCAAGATTCAAAACAGGTTCACTGGCTCAAAGCCTGTGTGTGGCTAGGATTCCCAGGAATGGAGTGGGGGAGGTGCCCTCACTTATGTTAAAATGGTATCAGGGCTGAAACCCTTGGCAAGTGACTTTGATAGGGAAGACTGGGGGAGAGGAAGTCCCGAAGGCCACTGGCATTCGCTCTCACGCGTGCGTGCATGCAAGCGTGTGTGCGTGCGTGCGTGCGTGCGTGCTGGTGGATGAGTTATGTGGCAGAGGAAAACAGTTCTGGGAAGCTCCCAGTCCAACGAGGAGGGACATGCTAGGGCACAGGGCACTAAGGTCTTGGTCCCATGTGATGGGAAGGTGATTACAAGATCTGGTCCTCTCTCTCTGGAGTCACTGTCCAGGGTGGCTGTCATCTTCACTGGGCACTGTCTAAGACAAGACATTGACTGCAGACTTGAGGGAGATAACATTTTTTTTGCGAGTTAGCCCCTTCTTTTGTGGGGAGACTGAGTCACAGACACTAACCAGCTGGCCTACAGACCCATGTAAGCCACTGGAGGTCCCAGAAGTGAGTCCAGACAGCAAGTGTGCAGCCCTCCTGCTATGGCCCCAGCGGTCACTTTCTGAACGGGGCTCCGTCCAGGGTCTTGCTTCTCAGACCAGCTTGGGGTGGGGTTAGGAGCGCAGGGCGGCGGGGATGTTGTAGGTGGTTGCTCCCATATCCCAGATGAGAACAATGGGGCTCGGGGAAGAAGTAATTTGTTGTAGCTGCTGATGACACCAGTTGAGCCCTGGTGCCCCATGCTGTCACAGAGGGCCTCTCTGAACAGGCTGGCTCTCTTCTGTGCAGCTGCCTCTTTGCATACTCTAACCCAATTTCCCTTATGGCCTCGGGGTCTCTAGGAGGTTGGAGCTGAAGTCCTTTTCACAGATGAGGAAACTGAGACTCACGATTACTGAGGTGACTCAGCCAAGGTCACAAGGCTAGTGAGGGGGCATGGCAGCCTGTCACACCTGACTTCATGAGGAAGTTTAAGAATCCAGGGGCCTCGAAGAGTGGCGCTGGGACAGAAATGGCCCACAGCAAGTGTTGGCAGGAATGTGAGGGAGCTGGAGCGTAGGCGCGTTGTGGAAGGCCTGTGGTGTCCTGGCTGTCCACCGTGTCCACACACTGGGCCGTTTGCCTCAGCGGCATGGGAATGTGTGATGGCACCAAATGCACACAGAGGAAGACCAGAAACAGCCAGATGTCCCTCATGTGGCATGAGCGTCCCTCCGAACACTGATGTGCATGAGGAATGGGCAATTGCGGCACTGGGCCTAGATGAGTTGGGAAAGGCAGACCTGCTGGGTGGGAGAGGCTGGGCCGGCCGGTGTCCATATGCTTCATGAGTCTGTTTATGCAACGGTTGAGAACATCCAGATGAAACTGGAGTAACAGACATCAGACCCACGGCTGCCAGTATAGCTGGGACGGCACACACCCACTGCAGTCTGGGCACGCGACCCTGGTGTCCTGACTGGAGGAGGGGGTGACATGGGCTATCTTCAGGGTCACGTCACCTCTGCTTGGATTAAAATGAAGGTCAGAGTGAACATGGGCCAGGTGACTGACATCTGCGTCCTTAGAGAAGGGGTGGACGGGGCTGAGCTCTGGACCCTGTATGGTCTGGAAGAGGGAGAGTTGGAGATGCTGGAGAGTGTGTTCAGTCTTTCTGGGGTCAGAGGAAAGCGGTGACCTGGGCTGAGGATTTGGGGCCCCACCTGGGGCAGGGTGACTAAAAGGACATCCCTGCTTCCCCCTGGGGCGTGCTGGGACATGGACAGCCTCGGCAGGCCTGCCAGCACCCACAGGAAGGAAAAGCGTAGACGCTCATTTTACAGATGAGGAGCAAGGGCCTTGCTCTTCCAGCAGGCCCAGTAGTGACTTTTGCTGATGTGTTTGTTGGGACGGCTTACTTCGATTCAAGAGTCTGGGGACATTCCCTGGGGCGGGAAGACGTGCTCAGGGACAGGGCATTCGCATGCTTTTGTCCTGTTGGAGTCTCTTCATTTGTGCCCATCCTTCAGGGCCCTGTGGCACAGAGTTGTGGGGCTGTCTGAGGTCAGCCAGAGCCTCACCTTGCCGTCCTCCCCCCTTTCTCTTCTTAGACTGAGGACTGCCCACGGGAGAGAGGGCTTGTCTCAGACTGTGGCGCCCATCTCAACACCTGGCTCGCGGCCCGTCTCACAGTATGTGACCAGGACTGACGTGTGGTGTTGCTGGCCTGCAGGGCTGGGGGCTGGGGGAGATGGCGGGCAGATGTGGTGGGGTAGGGAGTGGGTGAGGTCTGGGCAGTATGGCCACTACCTGAAGCCTCATTCTGTGGGCCTAATGCCTGCTTCCCTCACGAAAACCCTCTCCTTCTCTAGGTCCTGGATAGTGAAGGAGGCTATCTAGGGACAGGAAGACCAGCGGGGTGGCTTGCTGGCAATGGGGATTGTCTGGCCAGCTCCTTCTTGGCAGGTCCAGACCCTAGGACTGAGGAGACTCACTCTGGGCTTAGGCCGAGTCCTTACCTTCCTGAAGTCTTGTCTCTATGACCCATAAATCTGGTCAGTGAGATCCATCCTGGTCCAAATGCCATTTCTAAATCCCATATGCCGCTCAAGGGCTGACTGTAAGGCCTTGTCTGACTAGTCACCTGGGCTGTGCCATTTCCCCAGGGACCAGGCTGGCAGCGTCCTCCTCAACCCATTTTACAGGAGAGGAAACTGAGGCAGCCGCAGCTTCATCTTCTCTCAGGCCCTGGGTAGCGCCTGACCACACCCTTCTCGCCCTACCTTGGGACCTGGGGTCTGGAAGTCCAGCAGGAACGATGGCTGAGGCCAGTGTCTCCCCATGTCCCTCAGCAGAGGACAAAATGGCAGCCAAGCAGCCTCCTCCACTCATGAAGAAGCACAGCCAGACGGACCTTGTGAGCCGCCTGAAGACCAGGAAGATCCTGGGCGTGGGCGGGGAGGATGATGATGGCGAAGTGCACCGGTCAAAGGTGGGCCTTGCTAGGGCGGAGGCCAGGCCCCAGAGCTGCTGGAGCCTACAGCTTCCCTGTGCCTCTGGGGCCCCTGCAGTGCGGGAGAGTGACATGTATAGTAGCATTGGTTTTGTGGGAAGAGCCCAGTGCTCCTTAGGGGACAGGCATAGACTGTGTTACAGACCCGAGCGGACCCTGCTAGCCCTGCAAGCTGCCCATGTGATTATTGACCCAATGTACAGACGAGGAAGCTGAGACTCTCACTTCCTTGAGGTTACCCAGTGATGGACAGAGCCAGGCTTCCAGCCCATGGTGGGCAGACCCTGAACTTTCCTTCTTAGCCACCTCTTCTCAGCTTCTCACTTCTCTGGGTGCCAAGGGAGACAGGAGAGGTTAGAGCCTTAACTTGGGCTTGCAGTGAGAAGACCTCTATGTCAATCACAGGTGCTCTGGGCCCGGGTGTACACAGGTGTGGGGAGAGGGGTGAGTGGGGGGATGCTGGAGGCCTTCCCTGATGCCTCTGACTTCTGTGTCCACAGATCAGCCAGGTCTTGGGCAATGAGATCAAGTTTGCTGTGCGGGAGCCTCTGGGGCTCAGGTGAGTAGCAGGTCTTGTTTTGTGTCCCGGTGTGTATCAGGTCCTACGTTACTGGGCCTTTCTCTGAAATCCAGAGCATACCTTGTTCATACCTCCCCAAATAGCCCGGGGTGTCTGGGCTTCACAGAGTGTCTCCTGGGGTCTGGGTCGACAGGGTGGCTGTAACTTTCCCCTCTGCACCCCCCCAGGGTCTGGCAGTTTCTTTCTGCTATGCTGTTCTCCAGTGTGGCCATCATGGTGAGTCCTTGTGTCCCGGCCCTGGCTGCAAGCAGGCTGGTACTTGTCAGCTGGTGGTACCTCGGACTGGATGGAGGGGAGGGGAGGGGTGTGGCCCTTTGCCCTCCCCCAGCTTTTCCACCCCATCACTAGTTGTTGCTATCTCTACACCAAGGTCGTCTGTCAGGGTCTTTGCTAGTTCCAGGGCTGGCACTCGCCCCTTACCAGTGTGCTGTGCCCTAAGGCAACCGGCATCTGATCTGAGCTCTGGGAATTGCCCCAGGGAGGGGGCACTCAGGGTCTGCCATGGGATCCCCCCCCATGTCTATGTCCTCTGCTGCCAACAGGCCCTCGCCCTCCCTGACCAGCTCTACGATGCAGTTTTTGATGGGGCTGAGGTCACCAGCAAGACCCCCATCCGCCTCTACGGTGGTGCCCTCCTTAGTGAGTACTTCTGGGTCAGCGGTGGGAGGATGGGGAGGCCCAGGGCTACACCTGGACTCTGGGGGATCCTGGGATAGCCTCCCTTGGTTCCCAAGCAGGCTGGCAGACTGGGCCCTCCATCTGTGGCCGTGCTGAGCATGGGCTGCCACCTTGTGGCCACTAGTGGAATACACATGGTAGGTTGGGAATATTGAGGCTAATCAGTGCACTGCCGTGGCATTGAGCAAAGTTGGATGAAGTCCTGCCCTGCCTACCAGGGTCTCAAAGCCTAGAGGAGGGCAGCCTCAGCAGTGTCCTCCACATCCTTCTCCCACTCATCGTTATCCCCAATGCATTTGATCCTTTTGGTTTCTCCTCTAATTTGAGTGTGCAACAGACCACAAGAAGCGGAACTGCAGTTTTAAAGTTCAGCGCAAGGGCCATCACTGCCTTCCCTAAAGCCACTCTATGCAAAGCCCTGCATGTATGCCTGAACGTCAAGGTCCTGTGTGGGGGCTGGGCGCATCGGTGGATGCAGCCTCACTCCCCTGCCTGCTTCTTCCTTGGTATACATTGGGTCTTAACGACAGCCACACTGGAAGATGCCCACTCCTCAGTTTCAGAAGGCCACTGGGACTTAGTACACGCAGCTTCTCCAGGCTTGTGCCAGTTGGACCTAAGCTTGCTGTGAGCAAGGCAGAGGTGGGGGTGGCTATCAGTGTGGCTGCCATCAACGGAGCACACTGTGGCCACTTCTCTGGTGTCCAGAGATCAGGCACCGAGGGGTAAGCCACAACGGCTGTTCTGCCGCTAAAATCAAAGCCTGTCCTGCTCTCCCTGGGGGAATTCCCGAGAGTAAGTCCTTCCTTGGCACAGGTTTTCTGTCTCCAGGGGCTCCTCTGTTAAGGAAACCGAGCTGTAGGCCCAGGTAACTGAGTTCTCAGACTTCTCCACACAGCCTCACGGGGCCGGAGCGTGGAGCTGGGGGTCCTTGTCCCAGTGTAGACACTAAGTCCCAGTGGAGAGCCCGGCCTGTGCCCTTGGGGCTGTAGACGTGATGTGAACAGCCTCCATAGCAGAGCTGGGTCTGCAGAGACAGGGACTGGGGACAGGGAGAGGGGCAGTTCAGTCTGAGGAGCAGGGTGCTGTGGGATAAGGAGGTTCAGACCCCCCCCCCGGAGCTGGGGGTCAGGCCCACCCTCTGCTTGACCCCACCAGGCATCTCCCTGATCATGTGGAACGCACTCTACACGGCCGAGAAGGTCATCATCCGCTGGACTCTGCTCACCGAGGCCTGCTACTTTGGGGTGCAGTCCTTGGGTGAGTACTGTAAGGTGGGAAGGGGACAGAGCACTGGGGACTGTGTGCCCAATCCACAACCCAGACACTCAGGGCTGTGCATTCTGACACCTGCCACTAGGGGGCAGCAGACTAGGGGTGTCCGTCAGCTGGATTAGGCTGGTGTTGAGCTCCTGGAGGCCAGCCAGCCCCCCACCCGCCCCCTCTCCCCAGGGATGAAGGAGAGCGTGTGGCATAGCACCGCGGAGGGAGGGGCTTGAGCACATTTCTGCTCCTAACCTCTGGCTCCCTGACTTCCTTCACAGTGGTCACCGCCACACTCGCTGAGACTGGCCTCATGTCCCTGGGGACCCTGCTGCTCCTGGCCAGCCGACTCCTCTTTGTCATTGTCAGCATCTACTACTATTACCAAGTCGGTCGGAAACCCAAGAAAGTGTAGCTGGCTGGGACCTGCCTGGGCCTGGACCTGGGCCAGAGCGGCTGGGGACCTCACGGTCTGTGGGCCCCGGGCAGGCCTGCAAGCAGGCAGGGTGCGCGCACCTTCCTTCCCTCCCAGGCACTCCCTGGAGTCAGTTTGGACCTCCTGGGCAGTGACAGCAGGCTGGGGCCTCTGCACCCCACTCCTCACCCCGTACAGGGACAACCCCTTGCCCTAGCTTTCTTGATCTCTAGACTCTAATAGGCACACAGTCTAGAGTGGATTGCTGGGGTCTCTGGGCTGAGTCAAGGTTAGTTCCTCTGCCAGGAGGCCCTTTTCTCTCCAGGAGATTGTATCAGCTCCAGCAGCAGGTCTCAGCTTCTCTCCATCCAGAAACCCGAAAACTGGGTCTCCTCGTGTGAGTCCCTCACATGCCAAACACACCCACACCCACACACACTCACACACACACACACACACACTCACACACACACACACACACACACACACACAGCCCCTACTGTGGTCAGCTAGCAAGGGGAATGACTGCCTCCCTTGGGCCCAGGTCCCCATCCTTGGCCTGCACACCTGTCCCTCTCTTTGGCCCGACATTCTCTTTGGTAGAATGTTCTGATGCTCTGGCTGTCTGCACCCAGAGCCCCAGAGGCCCTCCCCGACAGGCCAGGGTTATACAATATACCACAGGCCCTGACAGGCCCTGTCACCTCAGCGGGCCATAGGCTCCTAGTGCGTGAGGAATTCTGAAGAGAAGCAGGGACATTTCCTTGCCATGGCCTAACAGGCCTGCATGGTTACAGGTGGCTCAGTGCCTCCTCAGGATCCCTCCCCACCAGGCTGTCCCAAGGCCTACAGCCCCTCAAACTGTAGACGTAAGGAAACAGAAGTGGTCTGCCCTTCCTCGGCGCCCTCACAGTGGGCCTCTAGACCTGAAGACACACCCCTGGTGCCACCTCCCCGTGCGGCCCTGCCCCTTGGTCCTAGCTCCCCGCACTTTTCTTCCCTGCAGCAGCAAGCACACCGAGGAAGAGAGGTTCCCAGAGGCCTATCTCGTTCCCTTCTGCCAGGGGTCAGAGTCATGCCCCCCACCCCAGCTGGGGAAACTTTCCCCTGAGTGCCTACGCCCAGCAGGGGGCACTCCAGGGAAGTCTCAGTGGAAAACATGCCCGGTGGGCCAGGCTCCTGGTCTGACAGAGCGGTGAGAATCTGTGTTTTCAAGAAGGGACCATTGAGGCAGGTGGATCTCTGTGAGTTCGAGACCAGCCTGGTCTACAGAGCGAGTGCCAGGATGGGCTCCAAAGCCACAGAGAAGCCCTGTCTCGAAGCCCCCCATAAGAAGAAGGGACTGCTGGCTCTGTGCCAGTCCCTCAGAGCACAGGCCCAGCACCGCCACCCCTCAGTACAGTCCCAGCTGCTGCAGATTGTTGACTGTTTTCAGCGGCGATGGGGGTTTATCCTTTTGGGTCCTCTGCGAATGCAGACAGGGTCCCAAGGGAGGCAGTCAGAGAAGTGGAAAATGCCAGTCACGCTCAGCCCTTTGTGGACATCTGCCAGTCTGTCCCTCAGTGACAGGAGATGGCAGGTCCTGCCCTGGGGTTGGGATGGGGTGGCCAGGTCATCCTGGTGTGATATCTTCACAGGGGGTGGGGTAGGGTCAGGGACAGGCCAGGGCTGGCAGTACAGACACACCTGTGGCCTCCAGGAGAAACTAAGCCTGGAAGGAGGCGGTGATAGAGATAGGAACTCCACCCTGAATCCAAGCTTGGGGAGCCCTGGCTGCCCCCAGCTCCTCTTGTCATGCTTCTGCCTCAGTCCCCAAGACCGCCTCTGTCATGGTCACTATTTATTCCTCAGCCCTTCTTTTTGTAAGAAATAGTCACAAAAACCAGTGCAAAACGATCTGTGTGTGTCCTGTTTTATATTACAAAATTTCTCTTGATATAGAATATAAAAGGGGGTGGGCTTGGGAAGTATAATGATAAATTAGCTCTGTTTCCTACTGCAAGGGACATTACAGTTTCCAAAATAAACTATAACGCGCGTGCGTGTGTGTGTGTGTGTGTGTGTGTGTGTATGTGTATGTGTGTGTGTATGTTGGGGTTCCTTGGGGCGGGGTGCTGGGTTCAGGACCCGGGTAGGTCAGGGACTTGGGACAGGATGCTAAGAAGGGGCATGGGCCACAGAGGCAGTCTTAGTCCCTGTCTGTAGGTTTCTGCTGTCTCTTCGGCAAGTTGCTCTGGGCAGGCAGGGGCTGCTCACTACTGAATGCGAGTCACAGGGCATCTCAGGTGAAACTATTGGTCCTGGAGTGAGAGGTGAAGGAGGCCTCTGCTCCCCTCCCCTGAGAGTATACAGAACAGCCCACCAAACCCCACCAGAGTGACCTCAGACAGTCTTGTAAATGGCTACTGGCAACCTCACAGGGTGGACTGCCTACCTCCCTCTAGTCCCATGGGGGTGCTGACCGAGGAGCTGGATTCATAGCTGGGCTGCATCTGGCCTACCTGGGGGCTCTTCAACGTCTATATGCAAAGTTCTTCTGGTGAGAGTCTGATCTACCCTGGAACTGCCTGGGTTACATATCTGCCCTCTCAGCTCTCTTTGTGCCAGCCCTGCTGTCCCTGGAAGCCTGCTAGCTCTGCAGAGCCTCTGTGGCTGGGCTCTATGCTGCTTAGAGGGGCCATGAGCTTCCAATCCACCTCAGCTGATCCATTTGTCTTCCTAGGCAGTTGGAGTTCAGTATGTGGTGGGTTCTGAGTCAAAGACCAGGTCTCTGGGCTGGGAACAAGCAGTGAGGTCCTCTGACCTCGTGACTCAGTCTCTAGGCTTCATTTATGGGGATGCCAAGTTAGCTGTCATAAAGACAACTTGCAAAAGTGGTACTCAAAAACCCCCAGGAAGGCCGGGATGGGTGAGGACATGAAGAGAGGAAAGAAATGAGAAGGGGGTCCCCTTGGACCCAGACAGTGACCCAAGTAGCAGGGGAGCTCTGGTCTCCAGGCTTTGGCTACGACTCCCAGGTGGCAGGAAGGCAGAGAGGGAAGCTGGAATTAGATCAGGCTCTGAGGAGAGCAGACACCATGCTGTTCCTTCCAACACTGTCCCATCCCACGTCTGGTGAGCCCATGGCAGACACAATTAATCAAATTTGTAATCCTGACAGACAACACTAATGAACTCAACACAGTCCTGACAGGGTCAGACATCTTGCAACCCCATTGGCAACCTAGTCTGTAGTCAGTGTGTGTGTGTGTTTGTGTGCACGTTGGTTGTGACCTGTGTGTGTGAGTCTAGAGAGAATAACAAAATGTTGTATGGACAGCATAAAATCAGAAAGTATGTCTTGGTGGGAATGGCTGAGCGGCTGTGGGGTTCTGCAGACAAAAGTTATGACCTTAACCTCTAGGAAGGAGAGAGTGAAGGGGCTATGTGGAGAGAAGCTCAGGAAAACGGAAACCCCTTCTGTCTGTTGAGGCGTGGTGACATCAGAGCTTCTGAAGGCAGGAGGCTGCGTTGGGAGGTAGTGAGCCCCACTTGTGGACGTATGCAAGGGGGTGAATTCTTGCCAGGGACCTTGGAGAGCACGTTCAAGCCTCAGCTCTGGGCAGAAAGAGACATGAACAATATCGGGGTGTCTTCCACCAGGGAGAATAGGGAAGGGTATGGCCCAAGGGGACAGGTGATGGATGACAGAAGGCTTAGGTAGAGTCACAAGAACTTGGTACAGGCAGTTCCTGGACAGTTTAGTTTACATTGGGATGCTGAGGAGTCCTGGCTGGAGTGACAGCAGCCCGGAGATGACCTTGTCACGCACATACTGTGTGAATGTGGACAAGTCACTGCCCTTTTCTGGGACTTGGCGAGGCTTTGATCCAAGAGGTGAGGAAATCAAAGACTGCCACTTTCAGATCCACACACAGCCACCCTCAGCCCGCCGGGAGCCAGGACAACTTCGCCGTCCAGCAGATGGCGCTGCAGATTCCGTTCTCGTGGTGAAAAGTGCACCTCCTTGGGGACTCTGAGCTACAGCTCATCCTCCAGGGTGTGTTTCTGCCTTCTGGTTGCTCAGATCCTGGAAATGCTAAGAGAGGGGACCCGGGCCAGGGGACAGTCCAGTTTGACAGATCCCAGGGGCTCTGAGGCTGATAATCCTTTGGTGTCAGGAACAGCTGGTCCCAGGCCAGCCCTAAGTCCTTGCTGAGCCCATGGTTCTTGCCTTGGAGCCAAGTGAGGCATCTTCAGTTCACATCTGTCTTTGTTTTATTTTAAAAATCCGCTCTATGCTCCTGGCCATCCAGGCTGGCCTTGCCTCCTCCCCGGGGGCAGAGGACAGGGAGGGGAGGGGGCTGGCTCCTGGGCAGTGGTGGGCTGGGTGTCTTCAGACCATGGTCTACTGGATGCCCCGGAAGAGGCACATGGCAAAGACCATGAGGAAAAGCTGCAGAGAAAGGAAGAAATCACCCGAGTCAGGCTTGGTGCTCGCCGAGGGGCCACACAGCATGCATCCTGGGGGGACTTTTGACTCCGTCCAGGGCAAGCACATGCTCCCCATCCAAGGGGGGAGCTTTGAAAGCAAGCCATCTGTTTAAACAATTCAAATCTGTATTCCTCGGGTCGGCAGAGACCTTAAGCAAAGCATAACCCTTCTCGGGCCCCGAGTGTGTGCCAGGTACTTACCATGTAAAGTAGTTTTAAGTGCTGTGTCAGCAGCCTTTCTAACCAGCAGGAAGTGAGTTACTACAGGGAAGTCGAACAACCTGATTCAGGGCACACAGGACCAGCGGGGTAGCCTGGCTTGAGCAGGGATATACTGCCCCCAGAGACCTTGCTTCCAAGATAGCTCTCGGGACATGATGAGGTTTGCAGAGGTCACAGTACCCTAAGCGTGGCCTGTGGCTACTTCGAGGTAAAGCTATGTACACTGGTCACATTCTTGAAATTTGCCCAGCCTCAGGAAGATCTGCGTGTCTGTTGCTGGTTTAGTCCCCACAGGAGGAATTGTTTACTTCCAGCAGTGCTAGCATACAGCAAGGGCTCAATACATGCCTGTGGAGTTAACGAATGATACCTCCATTTCCCCTGGGGCTTACGCAGAATTATTATCCCGAGAGACAAGGCACAGAGGACACTGAACAAGGAGATATCCAGGGTGCTAGGTGACCAGAGCATCCTCGAACGGGGCCCTGAAGAGCAGGAGGCAAGGGCCAAGAATCAGGGTAGCTGGCTTCATTGCTCCTAAGTTCATCCTAGAACTGGCAGGGGGCCGTGAGAAGGGAAGACTGAAGCACCACCTAGTGGTAGCTCGAGTGTCAACAGCCACTCAGATGTGCTGGGGCCTGGGATGAAGGGTACCAAAATTCCATTGCCAAATTAAAGAGACATCCAGAACACTTGCAAAGGCAGGGTCCTATCAAGAAGTCCCCGGCCCCAGCCTTCAAGGCAGTTCACATATCCCACAAGGCGTGTTTGGACTGCAGAGCTGGGTGAAGTAGGAGGCCTCTCAGGGCCTGCCTGCTCTCACTCTTCTGGGACAAGCAGGCACGTAGCTTTAGGCTACAAGAATATCTCCAGTGGCAGACATTTTCAGCAGCCCACAGTCATGGATCTGGGAAGTAGGCTGAGTGTTCAGAACCCGGGGCTTCTTTCCAGGGGTCCCTACTCACCTCTATAGCCAGCACCCCAATGGCAAAGGCCCCAGCCAGGTAGACGTAGGTTTCGAAGGTGTTGAGGATAACTGTGTAGCAGCCCTGGGAAGGAAAGGCCAGGGATGAGGGAGGTGCATTCTGCAGCTGGGCACCATTGTTGGCACCGAAGTCCCTGGCATTGGCCCCAGGGCTCAGCAATTGCAGGCTGCCATTTTCATACTTATGTGGGGAGGAGCAAGTATCAGGTCATTTACAGATTTGACAACACCCTCCCCCAGTGACATCCGGTCCCTGAGACAGGCTGAAAACTTCCCAAGGCTAACTCAGCCTCAGAGCCAGGGTATGAGGAAGTGCCCAAACACCCAGGCTTCCTGGTGTTCCTGACAAGTGGGGATTGAACCCCAAAGGCGGTGCTGGTTGGGCTGGGCTTCTTCAATCTGAATGCTCACCTGCTCTCCAAGAGGGACAGCAGCTTGCAGAGGTTCACAGTGCCCCTCAGTCCCTCTCTTGACCAGCCTGTCTGCTGTGGCTCAAGGCCAGGCAAGCCAGCCTCAGACTTTTCACAGATCTCCTTCCTCAGCCTCACAGGAAAGCCACCTCCATGTGACTCTTGTGCCCACTGCCTTTGGGTGTCAGATAAGCCAGGGGAGACAAGACCTCCCCCACTGGGCCCCAAGCACATTTTACTTTGTGTTCCCTGCCCCGCCCCCCATGGTGGCCACAGACACCAAGCCATAATGAGTCCTCTCTGTGAATTATATATACAGCAGTGCTGGCGATCAAACCTAGGACCTAATGCTGACCGTGAAGGAGCCACGCCCATCCCAGCTCTAAATGAAATATACACATTTATTTTTGAGAGATAGGATTTCATGTAGTCCTGGCTACCCTAGAACTCTCTATGTAGTTAATGATGACCTTGAACTTCTAATTCTCCTGGCCTTATTACCTGAGTGCTAGGATTACCCAGTTTATGGGATGGTGGGAGCCTAGGCTTCATGCATGCTAGACAAGTCTATTGGCTGAGCTATACGTTCAGCCATCTGAAACACATTCTTTTTTTTTTTTTTGGTTTTTATGAGACAGGGTTTCTCTGTATTGTTTTGGAGGCTGTCAGTCCAGCCTGGCCTCGAACTCACAGAGATCCGCCTGCCTCTGCCTCCCGAGTGCTGGGATTAAAGGTGTGCGCCACCAACGCCCGGCCTGAAACATATTCTTAAAAAAAACAGAGTTTTTCTTCCTTTTGTGAATGTCTGAACATTCTTTCGGCCCAACTGGAGGACTTCCAAGTGGACGGGCCTGGTGGTTTGGTGAGGATGGGAACCATGCCCATCTATGTGGGGTGACTGTTGGATTTTGGGTTCTACCGAGACTGGGGTCTTGATCTTCAAATCTGTTGCTATTTCCTACCCAGAACCCAGGTATGTTTGGCTAGAAGTGAACCTGAGGAGGCTTTCTCTGAGCAAGCAGACAGTAGTAGGATCCGATCAGGGACAGTGGCCAGGTGGAAGTCACAGTGTCTTCCAAGAGGAGGCTGGCTGGGAGCTAAGCAAGGGGGCGGGCATTGGAGCCCCAGGGAATGAGTAGACAGACTGCCAAGACACACACACAGACCCTAACACAAGTGACCCAAGCTGAGCAGGAGGTTAGCTGGTGGAAACTCCCCAGGGACAGAGAAGCCCTGGCATGAGTGGCAGAGGGGATGGTGTTACCTACAGTTGCATCCCTCTGTCAGGAGCCTGTTTCATGTGCCCTGCACCATGTGGTCCTCCGTGCAGCCCCTGGTGAGAAGTGGCTCACCTGTGGTTTACCTCCTTGGAAGAGGGGAGAGAGCAGGGGTGGCTCACTCAAGGCCATGCACACAATAAGAAGGGAAGCTCAGCTTCAGAGAGGGGCATGGGATTCTTTTCCCCTCTACCCTGAGGGGATGGAGCTACACTTCAGAAATGCCTGTCCTTGTGTGGCCAAGGTCTCCGTCAGAGTCCGGAACTGGCCACGTCCTGGGTATCACCCCATGATGGAGCACCCTCGTCTGGCACCATGACTCTCTAGATATGTGCCATGGCACCTGTCCTCCAGTGTTCAAGAGGGAATGCTCCCCACCCCGCTTCCTGCCCATCGTCATCCTAAAGCAACCAGCGAGAGGGCAGCTATTCCTGGGCAGTACCCCCACATTCTCGTCCTTAGGGTGCCCTTCCCAGGCTCCAGGATGAACACCACTGCCTACCTGCAATCCCTGTCTGGGTATCTCACAGATACGTCACACTCAGCTTTCCCCAAACATCACACACTATGCCCCTCAGCCCAGATAGAACAGAAACACCTCTGTCACATGCCTGCTCTCACACGGAGACTTCTCACAAGACCTGTGATTCGCCTCACCCCTACTCCGGCCTATCACCCCATCCTTCCTCCGCTGTTCACGGAGAACTGTCTTGAATTCCTAGCTCCAGGGTAGTTGGAGTGCCAACAAGCCACCTCCATTTCCCTGAGTGAACTACACGCTTCTGGCAGTCCAGCTTGTTCCAGTCACACATGTGTCCTGGGCTTTTGGAAGGCAGTTCTGAGAGAACCCAACCTCAGATGGTCTCCCGGTGGAGGTCTTAACAGAAAAGATGACTCAGAGGGGATGCGAGTGACAGAATGAGCCCCAACTGCCAGCCCCACTAAGCTGGGAGAGGCTCCGCGATGGAGAATCGCTGTGGCTCTGTGGTCCTCAGCCCGGGAGACAGCAGGAGTGTGCTCCTGGGGGAAGCGTCTAGAAACCAGGAGCCTGCAGGAGAAAGTTCAGGAAGCAGGAGGGGGCAGGAGCCTGGCTGTAGGACTCTCTCCCAAACCCACCCAACTCCTGAGCCCTCAGGAGCCCTTCTCACACTGAGGAGACTGCGCCTTCTCTAGAGCCTGCTCTTTCTCTGCAGACCTTCTGTCCTCACTCCCTGTCCACAATTCCCTGTCCTCAGCAAGGCGACTGCATTCTGGTGAAGGTGGGGGTGTCACACTTTCTCATAAGGGCGTGACTCAGTTGTCCAAATGTCCTTTGCTCGTATTCCCTTGGCCTCTGAGACAGCAGGAGAGACAAGGCTTCCTTCAGTTTCACACTCCTGAGCTATGGCGGACTTTTCTTCCCTAGCAGGGGAAGGAGCAAGGAAGCGTTGGGTCAGCTGGTTTGGCTTCCAGTGAGCCGGTAACGGCTTAGGCCTGTCAGCAGGAGACTCCACACATGCTCAGTGCTGCCCACATTCTATCTGCTCTTCACATAGGTCCCTGCGATCCAAACCTTCAGTGGCCTGCTCTCTCCGCAGCATCCGCATCCCAGTGCTCTCCGTCTTTATGCTGTCTCTTTCTCTGGGGCAGCAAGGCAGGCTAGGCTGTCTGGTGGAGGAGCTGAGCTCTGAGCTATCCCGGGTGAGGTGCAGGGACAAGAGCTGAGTTCTTGGTGTCAAGTTGAGGCCACGCGATCCGGTCTCAGCCCAATAATGACCTCCCTTGGGACTCTGAGAACCTTAAGCTCCAGCCCATGCCACATTGCAGCACTTTCTCAACCGATTTTCACCCTCAGGACCATTGCTTTTGTTCACTGGTTCACCATCTTCCTACCATTCCTCCCTAGACTAGGATCCCCGTGGGAGCCAGGCCTTGTCTCTTGTGCTCCACCTGTTCCCTGGTGTTTGGAATTCTCCAGGGAAGGCTGGCCAGGGGAGAAACCCAGGTGTGGCTCTCATCCTCATCCTCTCCCTGCCTGCCCTGCCCAACCTCTGTCTCGGTCTCTATGGAGGGGCAGGACTTCTGGCCAGCAGGAAGGAGGGGACCAAGGGTGAGGTGGTGCTTGTTGAGGGGACAGCTGAGACCTTTGTTTCCCCCAAGAGAAACAAGGCTGAAACCCTTAGATTTCAAGAGAAGAAAGAAGCCTAGACGTTTCTCTGATTGTCTAGGGTCAGGTCAATGAGAGTTTGCTCCCCTGGGATCAAGGAATGCCCCTAATTGACAGAGCAAGTTTCCTCATACATAGGTGCACGTCTAAGGAACACCCCCACCCCTGCTATCCAACTCTGATTTTATTATTAGAAGTTTGGAAAACCCACCTTGGAACCACATCCCAAATCCCCACTGCAGCCTACACCCGACTCGTCTCCCGTCCGTGTGAGCCTCTCCCCAGTTCCTTGAATCTCAGAGGCCTGAGTAGGAGACCGAGCTCTCGACCACCTTCAGACCCCCTGGGCAGACACTGCTTCCCCCAGCTCTGAGCTCTGCCCCTTGTGGAGTGTCTCCCTGCAAGGAACAGGGCAGTACCTGTTTGTTTATGAATGGACTCCTCCCCAGCTGGCACTCCTCCCTGCTCAACAGCACCCCATCCCGAGTCTGGGGTTCCCTCCGGCAGCAGGCTTTGGGCACCTCCTCGCTGTCCAGAGTCAGCAGCCGAAACACGGAGGCCATCTTGAAGTCTTCGGGTCCATTGACCCCACAGCAGCCAAACTAGAAGAGACCCGGAAGTGGGGGCTAGAGCTGGGCCAGAGGGGATGCCAGCCTCTGCCAGGGCCCAGCTCCCTCTGCCCTCTGTGTGACTGTGGTGATGACCCACGTCCCTGCACTTCAGGTCCTTTCTGGAAGAGGGGCGCAGCAGTATGTTCCTTACCTCATGACATTGGTAAGCATTTCACATGCTATGATTTTATAATATGCTATGCTAATTATAATTGTTACATTTGGCATGTGTATATTACATGCACACTTGTTCATGTGCAGGTGCATGTGTGGGTGTTGGGGGCATGTGTGTATATATATGCATGGAGGTCTGAGGTCAGTCTCAGATGTCATTATTCAGGTGCTGTCTTTTTTTTCTTTCTTTGTGTAGCGCTGGCTGCTCTGGAACTTTCTCTGTCCACCAGGTTGGTTTTGAACTCAGAGATCTGCCTGCCTTTGTCTCCTGAGTGCTGGAATTAAAGGTGTGTGCCACCACCACCCAGCTGTATTTATGTTTTGAGACAGGGGCTTTTACTGGGGCCTGAGGCTCATAGATTAGGTTAGGTCGGCTAATCCATGATGTGGGTGAGCCCCAAGGATATACCTGTCTCCATTTCCCGAGTGCTGGGACTATATGCATGCATCATAACACCTGGCTTCTGACGTGGGTGCTGGAAATGAAACTCAGTTCCTCACGACAGCACAGCAAGCACTTTACTGACTCAACCACCTCCCCAGCCCCTGTACTGATTATTATTAACATCAATGACAATGGCTGGTGCTTGAGACTTAAGTCAGGGGAAGAGAACAAGTTTTGTGAAGACTCTGTACTGTGATTTACTAGCTGTGACAACTTAGATTGCTGCTTCCCCCAGCCAAGAGTGGGATCAGTGATTCTTGATTGATTGTTGATGTCTGGCACAGGCAGGGGGTTGGAAGAGCCCTAGAAACTGACCTCTAGCATTTTTTCATGTCATCATTATGGCTTTGAATGCTCATGTATCACAGGATGGCATGGGCAGGGGCACTCACTGTGATCATGACTGAGTTCCAGGTGGCAGAGAACACGTCCGTGTCATTATTGCCCTGGTAGTGCTTGGTGAGCTCCTTGGTGAAGAACTCTCGGGTGAGCTGGGGACAGAGGAGAGGGTGCTGAGTCTTTTCAGCCTGATATCCCAGGTCATCTTTAATTACCCATTTTGGGCAGGCACCCCTTCCTAAGGCTTGGGACCTTGCTTTGTCATCACAGGTAACTGCTCTGACAAGGATGCCTGCATACATAGGCCTCCCCTAACCCCAGGATGGAACACACTGGGAACCCTGCTCAACTTTGCATCTCTTCTCAGAGGATGAGCATGGGAGGGGGTGACTGTCATTCTATCCTTCGGAATCAGCAGGTTCCAGGCCCAACCTATAAGGGGCCAGGGTGTGGGTAAGCCTTCAATTACCCAGAGCTCCCAGCTGTGTCCTCAAAGTCACTGTTCTCAACAGCTCCCTCAAGCTGGCTCCTTGTCCCAGGCTGGCCCATGTGGCTTATCCTTTATGCCCTCCTGTTTGGAGCTCAGGCCCTTCCAGCTGTGGTGCCAAGCCTCATCCACTAGATTTAGAGTAAGGAGCTGGCTGAAGCTTCTGGAATGAATGTCCTATGATATAAGCTACTTAGAGGGACTGGTAGCCTAGCATGGTACACAACATGACCAGACTGGGGTTGTCCTCTCCAACCACCTGACCATGTGACACCCATCATCAGGATGTCAATGGGTTGGATATAAATTCTAGAACCAGACTGGAGCTTTTATCAGGTGGTCCAGAGGAGGGGACCCATAGGCGCCCCTGGGTGAGGACTCTTGGAAACACTCCTACAGGAGGAGACTTCATTGGGCTGGGTTGCTCCAGTCCCTAGCACCCTGAGGTGAAGGCCATGTTTAGGCTTGTGGAACTGGATGAGAGAGGAGGCCCCCAGTGCTCGGTGGGTACAGGGAAGGGTAAGGGGGGCTGAATGGTACATACGTGCTCCCTGAAGATGAAGGCCAGGATGGCTGCCGAGAGCTCTACCAGGAAGATGATCAGGATAAACAGGAAAAACTGTAGAGAGAGGGCAGCCATGAGGCCCACGTGGGGCACCATCTTCCCGCGCACCCTTCCACGATAGATGGAGTGTACTCATCTTGTAAGACAGACCTTCGCTGCCATAAATCACTGTTTTCATAACAAACACACCAAGGATCTACCTTTGGAGCCACAGAGTTGCAATAAAACATATGAGCAATGCAGACAAAATAAATCTGTCTTCCGAGCGCATGGTCACTGAGAGAGGCTGCGGCGTCCGACCTGAAGAGCCTACCTGGGGATCTCGGGAGGAAGCTGCTGCTGCTGCAGCAATTTGCCTGGGCTCCCTTTGGGGACATTTCCCTCTGTGAATTATCCAAACTGTGGGATCCTGGATCCTTGGGGTTCCCAGGCTGGGTTTCCCACCCCATCAACCTCAAGGCCACTTTTTTCTTGCCCCAGTGCCTCTGTTGCCATGGAAATAGAGAGGCCATGCTGTCTTCAGTGGAAGCAGGGAAGGCATGTTGTCTTCGGCTGAAACGGAGGTGTGAGGTGGTCAGAAAGGTAGTGGGACTCCCAGAGAGTCCAGGGAGGGAGTTAGATGTTCAACACAGAACTCTTCTGCTCCACTCACTAAATTCCTGTTCCATAGATTAACCAGGATGCTCCGGTGTGGGGCTCTCCCAGGCTGGGTGGTCCCTTGTGCCAAAGTTGAGCGCTAGCCTCACTCCTGAGAGGCCTTCCTGACCTCTCCCAGCAGGCCCTATCCACATCATAGCATCAAACAGAGGCACCCCAGCAGATCCCTACTGTAGGACTTTGCCGCTCACTGAAGGCTGCCTTCCTCCAGCACCCGAGAGGCCTCAAAAAGGAACAAATTGTCATGGCGCCCCCGTGATGTGCTGTGTGTCTCAGGCTCTGGTCCTCACCAACACTGTTTTGAACATAGGAAGAAGCACTTTGGCTTTCCTTTGCCAGTACAATTGCAAACTCCATACCCTAGATGAGCCAACAGCAGAGGACCCACAGTGAGCATACACAGAGGCTGGTCCCTATATCCCATCCATCCCCTTGGCCACACACGGGCTGGTCAGCCAGTATTGATGACTCGACCAGAAGGAGATGGAGATGTTGGGCTTAGCCTGAGGATATCTCAGGTCCCTCTTTCCCAGTAACACAGGACTGGTAATGAGGATGGATGATATAATGGAATGAAAATGTCCGCATGAATGAAAGTATCTCCAGGCCACTTGCATAAGCTGTAGAACACACCTCTTGCTAAGAACTAAGCCATGACTTGTTGGATGTCCTAGGGCATGGTGGATGACTCTGAGGGGTTTTCTCTCATAATATTCTTTTCCCATCAGAAACTCTATCACTTTATCCTCATCCTTGGAGACCCCAGTCATGTTCCAACTATGGCTTTTCTGCTCCAACACAGCTTCCCTAGAGAGCTCCCAAACTGTTGAGCATTCTTTGGGAAGAATGAAGGATGGCTGTAAGACACAGACAGGTCCCTAGACCTGCCAAATAGTCTGTCAGTGCAATGCCCAAAGAGAGAGGGCCTATCTGAGACTATCCACAATGGGACCGTCTCCCTGGCCCATGGCTTTACCGAGGGAGTAACCCGTGGGTTCTCTGCATCCCTGATGGCCCTGCACTCCACTGTTCCAGGAGGTGGATGGGGGAGGCACTCAGGTTCAAGCTGCCTCTGACCTCTGACACAGACCCTGGCCTTGGGATGCATGGCATCAGCCCCTGACTTTCCCATGGCTGTCTCTATGACTTTCTCTTGTTCATAGATGAGGAAGCAGAGGCTAGAGAGGTGATGACTGGTCCAAAGGTATGAAGACTGGAAAGCCCCAGGTCAACCCTCTCCTTCTTGGGGCTTCCTGATGCCTCTGTACTCAGAGAAGGCCCGCAGCCCAGGGGGAAGCCTGACAGCTGAGTGGCAGCCATGCTGGAGAAAGTGTGAGACAGCCAGACACACACAGGTGGAAAGTTGACTTGATCAGGAAACCCAGAACTTCTCAAAGACTGGAGTAGTCTTGGGCTGAGGACAAGGAGCTTCCTAGGTCTGGGGTAGGACCCTGGCTGCTGCTCCCCCATCTTTTCTGTCAACCTTTGACCTGGCCTTCATGAGTCTGGCTATCTCTGAACTGAGCAGCCACTGAGAGAGTGTCCTTGCAGTCCCCCCTCCCCCCCTCCCCCCGTCCCCAGGCAGAGATGTGGCATGTCCACTTGGCTGGTCTATGAGCTCTCCAGGGCCCCTCCTTGCTCTGTGTCCTCCCTGACTGTTGGCAGGCTCTCAGGCTATTGACCCCACAGTGATGTCTGCAATGCTGGTGGTATCCAGGAGTCACAGATTATGGTTGGCACATGCCCACGCATGGTCATTTTACAGTGTCCGTGAGACTGTAGGTGACGAGATTTGCTTGAGAGCAACCTTGCTGCTGTGCTTGGAAGACCACAGAACCCATGGAAGCCTGGCACCGTCTAGGAAAACAGCACTGCCATGCCCTTTGCTCTCGCCGGTCTCCTGTCTGCAGCTTGGGGGGAGGGGCATGTGCTCCCCAGTAACCCTCCATTTTACTGCTGAGCTGTGGCTCTACGAGGAGGTGGTATTGCCGCCAATTGGAGGTGATTGCAGGCGATGGTGCTGCAATTTTGGGGTGACTGCAGGAGCTTTCAGTTCTTAAGAGCTGTGAATGACCAGCTCTCTTTCTCTTCATTTCCCACACATCAAGTCACAGCAGAGCTACGCTTGAGATGCACATTTCCCCAGTGGATCGTGAGCACAGACTGATAGATCTGGTTGTCCCCGTTTTGCACATGAAGAGTCTTAGTGCGGTTCAACAGCCAGTCCTGGGATGCACAGCCAAATGTCAAAGCTCAAACTCTCACCAACACCTGGATCTGTCACCTCCCTGTGCCTCCATCCCAAAGCTTCTGAGATACTCTGGGCATGAACAAGCCAACACACACAAGGCAGACACAGGCTCACTCTGGGGTGGGCTGCACAGATCTGAAGCCTCAGGAAAGACGTCAAGAATGAATGTGGCAAATCTTGGCCTGGGAAAGGGGAAGAGAAGCCTGCAGGGGATGCTCCTACCCAGGGTAGATCTGCCCTGCACAGGGTGTGAATTTCAAGAGGAAATTTCAGGTTGCAATACCTACACTGGAGACAGTGCTATTTCCGCTGCCCTGGACTCCTCCAGCCAAGTGACTTCCTCCTGCGCCCACAGCTTCCTGCTGCTTGGGACTTTCCCCAGGGAATCAACGATGCCCTCCCAGGGACTTCCCACCTTTGAGGTTTGAGCACTGAGGTTGGGGAGCCTGGGTGCTCTTACCTATGGAAAGGTCCTGGTTCTCCTTCCTAATAAAAAGTCCCCAATGTCCGCGTGGTACAATTCGTGTAACTGTTAAATACATTCACTGTCTTCTCCCCTCCTTCCCTCTTTCACCCCCTTGCCCTTGTTAAAATTAGAATCTTTAGGTAAGTTGGACACAGGGCTCTTTGTGACATTCAGAGGAGACACCCAGGAAATGCCAGCATAGACCGTTGGTAGAGGCGTGGCAAGAGCTGGTGCTGGGGACGCTGACCCACACTTAGCTAGGCTAGCCCTTAGGTGACCAGCCACAGGGCCAATTGTCCTCAGACTTGGGGTTCTTAGCTTCAGAACCAGGCAAGACTTGCTCCATGTCCAGGCCTTAGTGCTGCGGACCTTGGGGCCAGGATCCTGAGATGGCTAAAGCCAGGTTCTGTTTGCCCTGTCCAGACAGCCAGGCTAAGGAGGAAGTCAAAAGCCTTCAGGGAGCCAGAGATGCCACCAGGGTCTGACTCGGTGGCCCTCTTCAACAGGAGCAACCACACAGCCAGCTTCAGCTTGGGAAAGAGAACTGGTTGGAACCTTTCAGGAAAACCTTCCAGAAGGGCTGGGGCTGTAGCTCAGTAGGCAGAATGCCTACCTAGCATATTCAGTCCTGGGCTGAATCCCCAGCAGTGCACAAACTGGAGGCGGGGGCACATCTGGAATCCTGGCACTGGGGGGGTGTGGGCAGGAGGAGCAGAAGTTCAAGATCATTATTCCTGCTCCCCTAGCAGCTTGGGCTTACATGAGACTGTCTTAGAAAAACAGAAAAGCTTCTCAAAGTGTCAATGCCGCCTCAACGCCACCCCACCGCATGCATACCACCAGTATGTGTGTTTGCACACAACTCACACACTATTACATAAGCCACAAAGCGTACAACACAGGTACACACGGCATATACACATGGTGAAACACATATGCACACGTAATATGTACACATGCCCTCATAATAAACTATACAGGGTACCACACACCACACATGCACACAAAACAAACATTCACATATACTCGCACACACATGCACACATTTAGAACACACATACACACATGCCTACAGCCCTAGTATATCCCTCTTGCACATGATTTTGGCCTGCCCAGATCTGTTCTGGGTTAGGGCCTGAACAGCCCTGGTTTGGATGGCAGGAGTCTGAGTATTCTGCCCTGCCTCTGATCCTCACTGATTTTAGGTTTGGGTGAACTGGGCTTGGGAGCAGGGTGAGCAGGGAACAGATAGCAGCAGAGTGATAGGGAGGGAAAGAAAAAGGAGCAGGAAAAGAAGCTGAGGGAGAAGCAGAGAGGGGAGAGGAAAGGCTGATGCAGAGATGAGAAGGACCAAGTGGAGACAGAGAGGGTCAGCTGGGACTTGGCTGGGACAGCTCTCAGCTGTCCTAAGGGAACTAGGTTGATTCAGCCTGTCCCTAGCTCTCAACCTTCTCCTTAAACTTCACAAAATACAAATGGTCCATTCTCCTCTCCAGCTGGCAGCGTGCAGGGCACACTTAGCCGAGGCTGGCAAAGCAGCAGAGCACAGGCTGCTCTCAGCCAAGAGCACAGGCTGCCTTCCGGGCTTGGCTGCAGGGACGGACCCGTTAACAATGATGCATCCCTGGAGGCCAAGGAGAGGCAGGGAAGGCACGACCTCTCTCTCTGTCTCTCTCTCTCTCTCTCTCCCTCTCCCTCCCTCCCTCCCTCCCTCCCTCCCTCCCTCCCTCCCTCCCTCCCTCCCTCCCTCCCTCCCTCCCTCTCTCTCTCTCTCTCTCTCTCTCTCTCTCTCTCTCTCTCCCTCCCTCCCTCCCTCCCTCCCTCCCTCTCTCTCTCTCTCTCTCTCTCTCTCTCTCTCCCCCCATTGAGAAAGAATCTAACACTGGCCTTGGCCACACAGCGGTCCTGTATTAGCCTCCCTAATGCTGGGATTACGACAGATGTATACCACCATGTAGGGCTCACAAAGCCTCGTTTTATGTGTGCGTATTTGTATATGTATTTTCAATCAGCATACAATGTTAGTGAGGCTCTCTCGGGCATCTTCACACCTCTTTAGTTTGGGTTGCTCCTCCTAGTACTCCCTCATCTTCCCCATCTCCTCACCTCTTCCTTCTTAGCATCCCCAATCCTCATTTCATATCATATGTATTCTAGTATCTTCCCATCCCTCCCTTAAAGCCTCTTTTCCCCTCCTCTCTTGATCCCTTGCTAGTTTTCTGGCCTCTACCCAATACTTACTCCCACATAAATACACATAAATAAAAATTAGAAGCTTGGGTCTGCATGAGAAAGAACACGAGCTATTTGTCTTTCTGAGCCTGAGTTATCTCACTTAATGTAATATTTTCCACTTCCACCCATTTTGCCTGCAAATTTAATAAATTTCAGTTTTCTTTATGGCTGAATGAAAAAATCCCATTGTGTATACGTACCACACTTTCATTATCCACCCATCCATTTCCTGGCTATTGTGAACATATCAACGGTGAACATGGGTGGGCAAGCCTCTCTGTGGCAGGATATGGAACCCTTTGGGTACCTGCCTAGGAGTGGCACAGATAGGTCCTTCTAAAAGCCCCCCCCCCCGCAGCCCTGCACGCTCCCAAGACGGAGCTGCTACATGGGAAGCATGTAGCACGGAGCTGACTGATGGGAAGGGACATTCCACTAGGGGGCACCCGCGGGTCTCTTTGTCTCTCCCAGGAAGTTGGCCATGTCATGCTCTGAGAAATAAAAGGACCTACAGCTCCCCTGCGGCTCATGCACAGGCCATTGCACTTCCTCTCTGGGAGGTGGAGCGCACAGCTATGGTAGGAATGAGCCACATGGGGGTGTCTTAATCGGGGAGGAGCCCCAGGCCAGATGTCTTCCTCTAGCAGGCCTGGTGCCACTGGTGAAAAAAGCAGTTTCATGACTTGCAAGGCAGTGCTTTTGATCTCTGCGCACTTGCCTGTGTCCTTGCTCAGGGAATCCCCCTGGGGTCTCACCTGAGTGACCCGCCCTCCAGGAGTAAGGCATTGACCAGTGTTTCCTGCACTAGCTCCTGAGCCTGATGCTTGTGCTGGGCCTCGGTTGGCCCATAGTTTGTGAAGCACCCTCCATGGGTCCCCTACGAGGAAGTCCTTCAGCCCACCCGCCGCCAAGGTGGCCCTGTCACTGAATTGCATTCCATCTATGCACAAGGAACATTTGCAGGTTTGAGGTGTGTATACATTCCTATCCTGAGCAGGAACTCTGCAGTAGGGCTCAACATTGAAGTTCTCTTGGCCCCAGGCCCACAGAAGCTCCTGGAAGAGAAACCCACCCACCAAGACCAGGACAGCAAGCCCACCTCACTGCAGCCCAGGGGAATCCAGAGAAAGACCATCTGCTGCTGCTTGGTCTGCAGCGCTTCAACCTCCTCAGGCGGGCTGGTCAGTCCCTTGACAGTCAAAAATGCCGAGGCTGAGCAGTTAAGACGCCAGATGGGAGGCACAGAGCAGGGTACGCACTCACACCCAGGCTTGCCTCCTGCCTAGTACACCCTCAGTGGCCAGGTCACCTCTCACAGCTTGGGCATGAGGGAGAGGACAGTTACTCCAGGGCTCTGACCCATCTTTAGCACCAAGGGAACTGCAAGGGTACCCCCCAAAGCAGGGGTAGAAAGTTGTGATGGTTAGCATGGACTGTCAACTTGGCAGGATCTAGAGCTGCCTAAGATGCAAGCCTCTAGCCGTGTCTGTGAGGAAGCTTCTAGGTTGGGTTAGCCACAGAGGGAAGATGTGCCCTATATGCGCATCACCACCCCCATAGGCTGGGACCCCAGAATGAATCACAAGGAGAAAGTGAGCTGAGCACCAGCATGAGTCTCTCTCTGCTTCCTGGCCACAGAGACAATGTGACCACACGCCTCAAGCTCCTGCCATCATGTCTTCCCCCCTTGATAGACTGCACCTCCAAAATGAGTCAGAAGAAACCACTCCTCCCCTAAATTGCTTTTGCCAGGCAATTTGTCATAGCGATGAGAAAAGTGACAAATACAAAGAATTAACAAGCAGCTTCGGAGAGCATTCCATATCCCCTGGGGACATGGAGAGCTGCAGGGTGATCTGTCCAACAGTCAGCTTGACTTCATTGCTAAGGTTCTGTAGATCAGAGCCTTGGGAGGAAGGACACCGTCATAGCCAACACCAATGTCCTCAGTGGACTGCACCCCGAGAAGCCTGGCTGGTTAGACTCAAGAGGCCAAGGCCACTCCCAGAACTGGGAGCAGAGGTCCCATACAAGCAGCAGACCTAGGAGCTGGGGAGCAAAGATCACGCACTGCCTTGCTCTAGAGGGCAGTCCGCTCAGCTCAGCCCCCAGGGGGACTTGAGCATGAACACAGCCAAGTGTGCAGTGACGCAGGGCACTGGTGTGACTTTCTGAGGGCAGGGGGCCGGAGAAGCCAAGTCCCAGAGGCATGGTGGGAAGTCCCAGGGCAGCACAGGGTCACTCTGTGATGGATGGTGAGGAGTCAGAGCCGGGGAGAGGAGGGAGACTGACTTAGGAGGCAGCTAAGAATCTTCAAACACTAGAGTTCCAACAAGCCATTCTCATACTACTCGTCACTGCTGAGCTATGAATGAATGCCTTGGGCCTCTCAACTGGTCACAAAGCTAAAATGTAAACGGATGACACTAAATGCAGTTATCAACTGTTTCCTGTCCCATAGCTAAGCGGCAAGCTTATGATTACACAGTTAGCTATCTCCTATCCTTAAACAGCCATCTTGGTTTTGGGGCTACTCAGTACAGACCGTAGCAGACCCAAAGTTAGACTAATAGAATGTGGTTACCTATTTTTTCCATGGTTGGTCTAGGCAAGTGAAGAGCATCTTCCATGTCACAAAGCTCAGTCATCAACCCGGGCAGAACTGAGTTTTCATGTCTACCTCAAAAGTCTCACTGGACCAAGATTTGAGGAACCAGGTTCTTCGTGCTTCCACACAGGCTCATCTTGAGCCTCCAAAGCCTGCCTTTCTACTTCTGTCAAATTCAAAGCTCTCTCAACCTCTCCTCTGATCTCTGCTCCGTGTTTCTGTAAAGTTACTCTGGGATGTTGTCCCTGACCTTAGGCCTCCTCACCCAAGGGTGAGACGACAGCCTGGTGCTTCGGTAACAGCCTCTGCACCAGTCTCCTGCAGGACTGCGGGTGAGCAGCTGGACATCTCAGCGGGCTGGAGGCTGAACCCAGGACTTTGTTTGTGGCATGCAGGTTCTCCACCCCGCTGGGTTACACTCCCTGACCCCAGGACCCGCTGGCCTTACTGCTGACAGTCACGGAGGTGGGAAGAGCTTTTTGGATTCTGAAACCATGTTTGGCTTGGGAGTCAGCAGCCGTCTACCCCACCCATAGCGCTGCAGGTAGAGTCAGGGTGAGGGATGGGTCACTCACAAATAGCAGCAGACACCTGTTCTCTCGGACAGCCCCGCAGCAGCCCAGGAAGCCCAGAAGAAACAGCAGGCCACCCATGGCCAGGACGATGTAGGCGCCAGTGGTCAGCAGGGGGTTCGTAGCCACGATCTCCCGGAAGCCAGTGGGATCCACGAGGACCCAGATGCCAACCCCCAGCAGGCAGGCTCCTCCCAGCTGTCCATAGGCAGGCACGGAGAAAAGAGGACAGACAGACAGACAGACAGTGAGGTTAGATGCCCCTTCCACAGCCTCCCCTCAGTGCTGAGGTCTGCAGGATTGGGCAGGATCTCAACATGCTAAGCCCAAATCTCCACAGTCCACAGGCTACTTGGAGTCTTCCGTGGGACTCAAAGTGGCCCGTGTCTCCTTGGCCCTCAGCATAGCTCACACCCTCTCAATCTACTTTCTGACCTGTGTGCCTCTGCAGGCTGTGAAGGGCTGTGTCACACACGGTGTATTTGTGACTTTCATATGCTTAAATGTCACACAGCTCCAAGTTTATGAGGTTTCCACATTGTGGCCCAGGGGAAGTCAGTGACTTGCAAAAAGGTCACCTCTCAAGTTCCTGGCAGAGTCAAGGCTGCAGCCTAGATCTCCCTGACATGGAATAAATCTCCATGGACAAGCTCTGAGAGTGACGCTGAGCTCCCAGTGGCCACACTAGCGGCAGGGTTTGCTCAATGGACTCCCACTCTCATTCTTATTTTTCTTTTCTTTCTTCTTTTTTTTGTGGAGGGTTCAAGACAGGGTTTCTCTCTGTGTGTGTGTAGGCTTGGTTGTCCTGGAACTCACTCTATAGTCAGGCTGTCTCAGAACTCAGAGATCCACCTGCCTCTGCCTCTCAAGAACAGCAGGTAGGTTGGAGGTCACTGCCAGCCCTGGCTGACCCAGCAGGTCTGTAAGCTGTGGGCTGGAAGGCTGGGTGAAAGCCGTTGGCTGGTGCATCAGGTGGGTGGGAGGAGAGACTGGAGGAGAAGAAGGCAGCTGCAGGAAAGGCCAGAGCTGGTTGCTGCACCTAACTTTTGCCTCGGTTTCCTTGCAAATCCTCCAGTGAGATCTGCTCCTCTCATCTCTATGGGTGGCTTTGGAGTTAAAGCCATCTACTGAGAGATGACAAGGAGGGTCCAGGCATGGGAAAAATAGGCCTGGGTTCCCAGCTAGGAGAACCACTTTGTAGACTGCCTAGCTCCAAGGTCCAGGAAGTGGGTGTCAGGGAAACACATGAAGATGTGAAAATGGACAGGCAGAAATGTAGACAGCCTATCACTGCCAGCAAAGGGACTATTCCTTCAGGACTGTCCCAAGGGGCCAGTGGTGGTACCTGAGCTGGAGGGTAGGGTTGGCCAGAGAAGACCTTCGAGACCCAAGAAGTGGGGAGTGGGGCTCTGTTACTGGAAGGGGCCTCAAGCCTGGGTAGGGAATTGGGTGGGCTGGCATGGAAGAGGCTTCCGGATGCCGGCATCTCTGCCCCTTCATACACAGCCCATAGTTTGGAGGGAGATGGACAAGCTTGTTCTAGTCACCCTGTTATCTATCTTGCTAAATTTGCTTTGGTGAGTCTTTAAGAGATGAAGATGTAAGTCAGGTGGTGGTGGCACACGCCTTTAATCCCAGCACTCAGGAGGCAGAGGCAGGTGGACCTTTTGAGTTCAAGACCAGCCTGGCCCAGGACAGTCAGGGCTACACAGAGAAACCCTGTCTTGAAAACAAAAATAAAACAAAGAAAACATGAGAGATGAAGATGTTGAGGTTCAGAGTGATGAGATGTGCTTCAAGCTGCAGAACCTGGTGCTAAGGCAGGCTCCTCCTAGAAGCTCCCAATTAGACAGGTGGCTACAAGGCTGGCCTGAACAGCTCTGAGGTCACTGCCTGATCGTGTTGGGGGTGATGGTTAGCAGGCTCACGTGTGTGTGTGTGTGTGTGTGTGTGTGTGTGTGTGTGTGTGTGTGTGTGTGTGTGTGTGTGTGTGTGTGTGTGTAGGCCATAAGTCACTCCCAGGCAGCTCTGTCCCTTGATACTGTTGCTGTTCCCCCAGGAGCCATCCATACTGTTTGTGAGGCAGTGCTAGGTAGGCAAGGACCCTGGATGTCTCCCAATTGTGTGTCATCACTCTGGCTTTTTATGTGGATTCTAGAGACTGAATTTGGGTTGTAAATGCGCAATCTCCCTAGTCCCGCTAGCCTATCCTTTGCCAGAGGCCCTCTCATCTCAGGACCTGGCTGAATTGTCTACTTGAAGGGAGTAGCAGTGGGGACTCAGGAGTAAGGCAGTCAATGCCAGGCCTCCCAGGAAGCCGACTGGCCAGGCTCAGCCACCTCTGGCTACTCAACTTCCTGGGGCCATTTTAGGGAGGAGGCTAGGCCTGTCACCAGCAGAGGCCAGAGACCCAGGGGGACACCTAGGGAACACCCAGGGGAGACCCAGGGGCACTTACAAATACGAAGAAGTTGAAAACAAACATCAGATACTTCATGCAGCTCAGACAGTCGCCCTCCATGGTGCTCCACCTAGAAAACACAAGGCCCATAATTCTTCACCTGGAGACACTTGACAGATTCCTCCAGTTGTAGACCAGCCCAGCCCCACCCAGCAGACCCAGTAACAATTCCTCTCTCAGGGGCAAAGATTTGCCCATGAGATTAAAAAGCTGAAACCTTGCAGGGTTCCCCCTTCAACTTCGCTGAAGGATTCTTCCTGCTATTTCCTCCCTCTTGCCCAGACACTCCCTGAACACCAGGGACCTTGCCCTAGAGACACAGGTTGGGAGATGGGGACAGTTAAACGGATAGTGGTTTTCACTGGAAGGCCTGGCTGTAGTCAGCAGTTCCCAAAACGGGTTCCCTGAGGCCAGGCAAACCCTGCTTATCTTCAGTATTCTTCACTCCCAACACTCACCCCCATCCCCAAAGCCCAGGACTCAGTCCATCTCCAGCAGGCTTAGGGGCCGGTATCTTGGATTGGGAGCAGACAAGTCCCCTGTGGAGGAAACCCTGTTTTCAGGTTGCTCAGGGGAATGATGGATGTTTGATAGAGGCAGGCCATTACATAGATAATACCCTTCAATCCTGGCCTGGAAGCATGGAAGCAGGCCAGCATCAAGGGCCAACCTGACCTGGTGTGAGCCCAACTCTTTCACTGGGGGTGCAGGACAGGGGAAGTGCAGTGGAGAGCAGGCTGGGAGTTGCCTCCTCATGCTCTTTTACAAGACAACCCAGGGAGACAGCAGCGACAGCCTGGACCTGTTGCCCAGAGGCCCCTCACCCAAGAATCCGAAGGTCCTAGGCTTACAGCTGCATGTCATACAACTTACTGCTTCAAGCAGACTAAAAACTCGAGGCTTGAGAGGTACTCATGTGTGACACAGCCAAGTGCTGACTTAGGATTGGCCTGGGATCCCTTACACCACTAGAGCATCACTGATAGGCATCATTCTTCCTGAAGAGTTGAGAACTACGAATGTGGCCAATGACATGCAGCCAGCCGTCCTGGGGCAGCCCAGCACCCTGCGGGCACCACCTGCTGGGTGGTTATTCAGAAGAATGCATGGGCCTCAGGGAGACATGCTTCCCCAAGAGCCATGGCCAGAGTGTTCACTGAGACACTTACAGTGTCTAGGACAGACTAGCACAGTGACATCAGTTAACACAGCCTCACCAATGAGTGAATGAATGCGTGGTGGAAAAGAGAAAACAAGAAGACCAAACGGCAGAGTCCGCAACTCAGAAACAGAGACCCGTATGCAAGGGAGAGAGGGAAGGGGACAGGTGACAGAGTGATCAAGGAGGGACGCAGTAAATGATACAGATTGGACAGAATCGGAGTCGAGCAATGTCAGGGGGCAGATGTGTCACCTGGGCAGCTCTCCACGGGACAGCAGGACAAAATCTCCTAGTCGGAGGGGTCTCAGGTGTGTCTCTCACTAACTCAGCTTGCCAAGTTGACCGTTACAAGATATTGGGTACTGGGGCACAATGAATGCAGGGCTTCTGGTGTACACACAGGCAGCGGCTTGACCGTTACAAGATATTGGGTACTGGGGCACAATGAATGCAGGGCTTCTGGTGTACACACAGGCAGCGGCTTGACCGTTACAAGATATTGGGTACTGGGGCACAATGAATGCAGGGCTTCTGGTGTACACACAGGCAGCGGCTTGCTGACTGACCTATGGCACTAATGAAAAGCTGGCGAGACGTGAGGCTGTGCTGGTTAGCTCCTGCCTACACAGCGGTCCCCAGCGTCTTGCCGGTGGCACAGGAGCTGTGTCTTCATGTGGTTTCTGCTGTGGTCCTATCAATGCTGTCCTGAGGTGGCAGGCGTGGGTGGCCACCCATCTGATGCCACCTGGGCATTTATCACAGCTCTGTCACAGGGCCATAGCACCAAGTCATTCCCGGCAACCAGGCTGCCATCAGGGAGAAGCCTGATGCAGAGAGCCTTTCTTGGTTCTGCATGAAGATTTGTTAGAAGGTTCCCCTGGAAAGCCAGCTCTCAGCAGGGCAAAGAAGCTGGCTTACTCTGGGGAGGCTTGTGTTGATCACACGTGTGGGGAGTTCTACAGCCCAGACCTGCTTACAGGCTGTGTTAGAGAACAGACCCAGGAGAAGGTCTGAACTCTGCCGACAGAGCTTGGGTTGAGAATCCTTCCCAGGGGAGATGGAAGGATTTTAAGGTTTCAAAACACCTGCTCAGATGCTCTCCCTCACGTGAAAGCCCACTTGGGGCCAGTTAAGTACATGCTGGGTGATAGATTCTCCTTCCTACCGTTCCTTCTTTTACTAATGCACTGATTCACTGATTCATCTGTCTATCTGTCTGTCTGTTCATCTATCCATCCATGTAACTACCCACTCCATTCATCTACCCACCCACCTATCCACCCATCCGTCCACCTACCCACCCACCCACCTATCCACCCAGAAATCAACTCATACTTCCTTCTACTTAACCATCCAACTATCTACTTACCCATCCATCCATCCACCTACCCATCTATCTACCTATCCACTCATCCACTCAACTTCCATCCAGCTATCTACTCCATCCATCCATCCATCCATCCATCCATCCATCCATCCATCCATCCATCCATTCACTTGCCATCTTATCTGGTTTGTCTGGTGAGGATTCTCTAGAAATTGGTTCTGTCGGGAGGGGAGGATCTATATACTCTGCCTTGGCAGGACTTAGCTAAAAAGGGGAAGAACTCTAGGAAGGGCAGAGGAGAGGGAACCCAGGTCCGACAAGACCAAAATCTTCATACAGGGATACTTCACTGAACAAGATGAAGCCACCTGACTTGTCACATCTCTGGGGTCATTCGAGAGGTGTGATTCTGCAGCTAATCCATGCTTGGCCATGGGGCTTAGGGGAGCAGGACTGGTCATGGTTTCCCAAGCCTTCCTCTTCCCCTGCCCAATCCCAGCCCTGGTTCAGCACCATCACACTTGGCTACCAACCCAGGCCATGGTCTTAATTCTGTCATGCATCATTTTCCTCTGAATACAGCTGCTGCGGGTAAGAATATAGGTTGCATAGGAGCCAATCCAGTGTCTAGGAGGAGTGGGTGGCCAGCATCACTTATCTCCTCACCAAGGATCATCCGCCATATGCATGCTGTCTGCTGGCACACAGGGCTCCCCGTCTTTGAGGCTGAGCCCCACTCCTGCCACACCCCTCTTCCTGTCTGTCTTCCGGGAGAGCCTGTCCCACAGTCAGGCTCCTGTCTGCCTAGAATATACGGCTCCATTCATTTCCTTACTGCTGCTTCAGAGCCTGGGATATCCCCTACCTTATCAAGTCCCTTGAGACCTTGGGATAGTCACTTGAGATAATCAAACTGTCATGATTTGTTTTGCAACCAAAGGTGGCCGAAAGAATCAATAGTGCCAGAGGAGAGAGAAGACTTGAAGGCCGAGGCACTGTGGTTCTCAGTGTCATAACACATCAGGAGTCAGTAAACAGTATCTGACTCGAATCACTGGTTATGAGTGAAGCAGGGTGTGGGGAGCACCATGGATGCCGTACTTGGTCAGCATGGGTACAAATGGCTTAGTCCTAAGTGGCCCCACATTCAAATTGATTGTTTCAATACTGTGCCAATTAATAGTAACTATAAGATAGTGTTTATCAAGCACCCGGCTCTGTTCAGCCTTCTCCTGTGTTCTCATTAAACCTTTATCTAGGAGGTGGGTCCTCTTACAGGCAAGGAAACTGAGGCTCAGAGATAAAACCAAGTTGCCTGAGTTCGTAGACCTGCTTAGTAATGTATTTCTAATCCAGACACGGGTCGTTTAACTGAAAACCAGAGCTCCGGCAAAATAGTGTTCATGGGACACAGAGGCAGAGAGAGCCCTGGGAGAGGAGGAGCCATGCCTTGGTCCCCAAGATCCCTGACCTGAGCTAAGTAGCCAAGCACAAAGCCTGGGAAAGATGCTCATTTCCTCCCTTGAGCCAGCTGGAGGCTGAAGGGCAGGAGCCGGTCCTGCCATCCCCTGACAGATGGGAGCCCAAGGCTTAGAGAGGGCAGGAATGGGGTTGAGGTTATGCAGCACCCTGGGGCTTTCCTCAGCAGGCTCCCACCTGGGCCAGACAGCTTTATTAATCTTGCCCCTCTCGTGGCCCCAGATGGCAGCTCTGCCCATCTGCAGGGATACAGTGCTGGGAGGGGTGCTCTGAGTAAGAATAACTGGGTTCATAAATCACTCCTTTTGCAGAGACCCCCATCTGGGGAAGCACACCCAGGCCCAGCTTAGCCTGCAAACATCCATGCCAGCAGAGGGTGCTGTGGCCCAGGGAGGAGCCACTGCTGGGTCCCAGTGGAACCAATATTTCCATGCTACTCCAACAAGCTGTGTGGGTGGGGCGGGGTGGGGGGAGGTATCTCTGATAGTCGTCTCTCCCCCAGAGGAGCCTGCACCCCTCACCTGGAACATGAAGACACTCATTTCCAACTACTCATGGTCACTGCCAACCTTCTCCCAGTACCTACTACAGCCAACCCTGGGCTTGGTCCAATAGAGGCCAGTGGCTGTGTTCACACTCGCTGCCACCACCACCACCACTCAAGTCTAGTGAAGATCAATAACCAATCCTCAGACAGTGGTGTTAACAGCCACCTCCTCTGAGTGCCCTGGCCGTGCCAGGCCAGACAGAATAAAACGCTTCAGCCCAGTGTGTCTGGAGGGGCCCTGGAGGTCGGGCGCAGGGGGACGGGCGGACAGGGAAGGGACTGACAGTTTTAAATGGAAGCTGCTGATGATGATGATGCCAGGGCCTATAAGCTCATTTGATCCCTGAAAAGCTCAGCAAAGAGCATGGTCTTATCACTACCCTGGGCTGGATGAAGCCACAAAGCCCACGAGTGGCTAGAAGGTCCCAGAACTGAAAAAAATGATATACAGCTGAGTGGGGCATTCAAACCCACACTAACGTGCAACGCACTTGTGAGAGAGAGCAGCACCAGTTTCGGCCATCAAGATCTGGCTAAGGGGGTGGGGAGGGCCTG